TCGTGGCCAGGGCGGTGAGCGGTACTTTTTGCTGGTTGTCGACGACTACTCGCGTTACACCACGGTCTTCCCCTTGCGCACCAAGGGTGAGGTCCCTGCTGTTCTGATCCCTTGGATCCGCACAGTTCGTCTCCAGCTCCGCCGCCGTTTCCGGACAGACCTTCCTGTCCTGCGTCTGCACTCTGACAGAGGTGGTGAGTTCTCCTCCGACCTCTTGAGGACCTTCTGTCAGGCGGAGGGCATTGAGCAGACCTTCACGCTTCCGGACTCCCCGCAGCAGAATGGGGTTGCTGAGCGCCACATTGGCCTGGTCATGGAGGTCGCTCGTACCTCCTTGGTCCATGCGGCGGCTCCCCATTTTCTGTGGCCGTTTGCTGTCCGGTACGCTGCGCATCAGCTCAACCTCTGGCCCCGTGTCTCCTTGCCGGAGACCTCGCCCACACTGCGTTGGACGGGGGAGGTTGGCGATGCGTCGCGCTTCCGGGTGTGGGGTGCTCGTGCCCTTGTCCGCGATACGTCCGCGGACAAGCTCTCCTCCCGCACGCTTCCCTGTGTCTTCCTTGGCTTTGTCCCTGACGCGCCTGGCTGGCAGTTTTACCACCCCACCTCGCGCCGGGTCTTCGCCTCTCAGGACGTCACCTTTGACGAGTCGGTCCCTTTTTACCGTCTCTTCCCCTACCGCACTGCCCCCCTCCCTCCCCCGCCGCTTTTCCTTGCTCCTGGTCCCCCTCCGGTAGACCCCCTCCCCCCTCAGGGTCCTGCTCCTTCAGGTGTCTCTCAGGTAGACCCTCCTCCCGTCGCTGAGCCTGTCGAGGTCACAGGTGACTCAGGTGCTGCTGCGGGTGGTGCTGCTGGGAGTGCTGAGCCTGGGGGTGCTGGGCCTGGGGGTGCTGGGGCTGCGGGTGCTGGGACTGAGGGTGCTGGAGCTGAGGGTACGGTGCCTGAGCGTACGGAGCCTGGGGGTGCTGAGCCTGGGGGTGCTGCGACTGGGGGTGCTGAGCCTGCGTGTACGGAGCCTGGGTGTACTGAGTCTGGGGGTGCTGAGCCTGGGGGTGCTGCGCCTGAGGGTACTGAGCCTGGGGGTGCTGCGACTGAGCCTACGGAGCCTGGGGTTGCTGCGTCTGGGGGTGCTCCGGTTCGGGGTGCTGAGCCGTCTCTCACACCGCAGCAGCTTCGTGACTGGTACGTCCGGCGCTTTCGCCGTCCTCGTGGCCCTGCTGGAGTTGGCGGTTCTGGAGCTGCTCGTCCTGGAGGTGCTCGTACTGGAGGTACTGGAGCTGCCGGGGCTGGTTGTTCTGGGAGCACTGAGGCTGGAGCTGCTGGAGCTGGGGCCTCTGGGGCTGGCGGTACTGGCGGAGTTGGCGCTGCCGGCGCTGGGGGTGCTCTTCCTGGAGGTGCTGGAGCTGACGACACTGGAGCTGACGGTCTTGGAGACGTTGGTCCTGCTGGCTCTGGAGGTGCTGGCGAGGGGAGGTCTGCCGCTGCTGAGGCCTCTGGTGCTGACGTCGCCGGCTCTGGGGGTGCTGCGGCGGGGGGTGCTGGTCCTGGTGCTTCTGGTGCTGCGGGTGCTGGAGGTGCTGGCGGAGCTCCGCCGTCGCGCCTGTTCTTCGCTCCACCGTCGCCGTCGGCTTTGCCACCGCCTGACACGGTGCTTCGCCAGGTTCTTTCCCTCCCGTCTTCCACTGGCCTTCCTCTCCAGCCTGGCTCCCCCCTCCCTGCTCCTGTGCCTTACACTGCACAGCCGGACTCGCTTACGGAGCGTCGTGAGCCTGTGTCTCGTCCTGCCTCGCCTGTTCGTGCTGCTCGCCCTGCTCGCACTGCGCGCACTGGTCCCACTGGTCGTCGTGTCGCGCGTCCGCGTCCTCCTCCTGTTCCTGGCACGCATATTACAGCCCTTCGTCCTTCCACTGGTCCACAGCGTGTCCCCCTACCGTCTCCTCCTGCGTCTTCTCTTCCTGAGGTTCCCGACCCTGAGTCTGACAGTGTTCGTGCTGCCCACCCTACTGTTACGCGTCTTCTCGCCACTGTTGTCACTGACCCGTCGTTTGAGTCTTCTGCTGCGTCTGCCCTGGTCGCTGAGCTTGTCGACTTTGCTGCTGCCTGTCGTCTAGACTACGCCGCCAGTCTTGTTGCTGGGTCTGAGTCTGTCTGTCCTCCGTCCGTCGGGGGTGAGTGTGCTCTTGGCACGGACGTCCTTGAGGACAGGCAGGAGGACTTTGACTCTCTTGCGGCTGCTGTACCTCATCTCGTGGCCTGGTTGCTTGCCCCTGAGGGAGACCCGGATGCACTAGACATCCCCACTCCGCGCTCTTACGCAGAGGCGATCTCGGGTCCCTACTCCTCTCAGTGGCAGACAGCCATGGACGCAGAGATGGCATCCTGGAAGTCCACAGGCACCTACGTCGACGACGTTCCCCCTCCTGGGGCGAACATCGTCGATGGCATGTGGATTTTCAGGGTGAAGCGGCCGCCAGGTTCTCCACCTGTCTTCAAGGCTCGTTACGTTGCTAGAGGCTTCAGTCAGCGTCAGGGGGTTGACTTCTTTCAGACCTTCTCCCCCACCCCGAAGATGACCACTCTTCGGGTTCTGCTGCACGTTGCTGCTCAGCGTGACTACGAGCTTCACTCTCTTGACTTCAGCACAGCGTTCTTGCAGGGCAGCCTGCACGAGGAGATCTGGCTGCGCCGCCCACCTGGCTTTACTGGGTCGTTTCCTCCTGGTACCCAGTGGAGCCTCCGGCGGCCAGTCTACGGTCTCCGCCAGGCACCGCGCGAGTGGCACGACACGCTGAGGACTACACTTGCGGCCCTTGGGTTTGCTCCTTCCACTGCTGACCCGTCACTGTTCCTGCGCACAGACACGTCGCTGCCGCCGTTCTACATCCTCGTGTACGTCGACGACTTGGTTTTTGCTACTGCTGACACTGAGGCACTCGCTCGTGTGAAGTCGGAGCTGCAGAAGAGACACACCTGCACTGACCTGGGTGAGCTGCGTAGCTACCTTGGCTTGCAGATCACCCGGGACAGAGCACGCCGCACCATCACCCTGACTCAGTCACACATGGTGCAGCAGGTCCTTCAGCGCTTCGGCTTCCAGTTCTCCTCACCACAGGCCACACCTCTGGCTACCAGCCACTCGCTCTCAGCTCCACCTTCGGACGAGTCCGTAGAGCCGAGTGGCCCGTACCCAGAGCTTGTAGGCTGCCTCATGTACCTGATGACTTGCACGCGACCTGACCTCGCGTACCCTCTTAGCATCCTTGCTCGTTACGTTGCGCCTGGGAGACACAGGCGAGAGCACTGGGAGGCTGCTAAGAGGGTGCTGCGTTACTTGTGCAGTACATCAGGCATGGGGCTGGTACTTGGAGGACGCGACAGAGTTGTCCTCACTGGTCACTCGGACGCTTCTTGGGTGGACGACCTGGCTACGCAGCGGTCGTCACAGGGTTACACCTTCAGCCTTGGCTCTGGTTCTGTCTCGTGGCGGTCCACCCGCTCTTCTTCTGTTCTCGGCTCTAGTTGTGAGGCTGAGATCTACGCCACAGCCATGGCTGCACAGGAGTTACGCTGGCTCACCTACCTGCTGACTGACTTGGGAGAGCGGCCTAGTTCTCCTCCAGTTCTGTACGGTGACAACAAGGCGGCCCTTGCCTTGTGTCAGGAGCACAGACTGGAGCACAGGACGAAGCACATTGCTCTTCGCTACTTTCTTGCTCGAGAGCTTCAGCAGCGCGGTCAGCTTCGGCTTGTGTACGTGGACTCGAAGGCCAACACTGCTGATATCTTCACCAAGGCGCTCCCGTGATCATCAGCGGCACTGTACTTCTTTAGGCCTTGTGTCCACGTTTCCTCATTTGCTTACTGCTTGACTTTCTTTGTACTGTACTTTATATATATCTTGCTGCTTGTCCTGTTCTATATCTAGCACTGCATGTGAACTGGCCTTGTGGCCTTTGCTTGTGCTCGGAGTGTGGTGACGTTGTGATCCACCCTGGGCTTGTTTTGCTTTGCTGGACTGGTCTTGTGACCCTTTGCTCTCCCCCACTTTGCCTATGGGGGTGTGTTAAGTTGTAATGTGTTATTTATATGTGGGTAGGCTGTAGTGGGGTAGCCAATACAGGGTACAAACCCAACTAGGGTTAGCTACTTGTACCCAACTGTTTCTTTCAATGCATCATTCTTACGCTAGTATTCTGAGAGCATAGACCTTGTTCACATTGCTAGCTCCCTCCCCCCTTCGCTAGCTGTGTTTTTGTTTGTTAGTTTGCTTGTCATCTTTTCATTCCAAAATGTTTCCAACGCAAGTATTCAAGGGAAAAGGACACAGAAACAAAAAGCAAAGCAATCCAGGTAGCACATAAAATACTGATCCAAAAGCAGCTAACTACCCTTCCAAAAGAACTACAGTAAGGTCACACGCTATGGTACAACAAGCCAGCCAAGCACGTAATCTCATCCCTAGTGCATGCACTCAATGACTTAGCCAATCGTCACCCAGATTGGTTCCTGGCCTCCAAGCAAGTGCATCAGCCCCTCTGTTCCATCAGCCCCTAGCGACCTAACGCCCCTCTTGCATTGCTAACTTGTACTTCCTTTGCTTGTTCACCAACCCATAGTAACGAGGTGACTTTTGAGTCGACTCAAAAGTCATCAGCCCCTGGCGACCTGACGTCCCTCTGGCACTGCCAACTTGTACTTCCTTCGCCTCTTCACCAATCCCTTTGTAGTGAACACGATCAGCTCTCTGAGTTACAAAGAGAGGGCGAACGCGAGGGCAGGCCACAATGTGAGAAGTGAACAGAAAATGAATTGGAATGATCAGCTATGGGAGCAACATGTGGATGGTGAAGGAATAACTCAAGGAATAAGAATGTGGGGTGATAGTGGTGGGGTGGTAATGATTAGAGCAAGTAGTGGAGGAAAATATGAAAGGAAGAGCACGAAAGATACCACATAATTCACCCTCTTCCTCTACCTCTCCCTTTCCACCTGCGCCTTACAAGTGCACTTGTTGTTATAATCCATTTGAAACCCCGCCTTGCACTGGCATGCTGCCTTTGCTCCCACCACCTTGCACTGGGCATTGGCAGGGCAGCCACCCTTGCATACGGCTGCCATGTGTGATGGGGGAAAGGGTGATAAGGGAACAATGTGTATCAATGAGAGCGGAAGAGATGAGTGTGTTCCAGCAGTTCTAGATGACATAAACATAACCGCGAGGTTGTTCATGGGTGCACAAGCTAAAAACAGAGGTTATTGGTGGTGGTAGTGCATGCCTTTTTGAACTCCCTTACGTGTGCACTTGTTCTTCTCCATTCGGAACCCTGCCTTGCACTGACATGCCGGACTCCCTTTCACCTCCTTGCACTTCGCATAAGCAGGGCAGGCAGTAGTGCATGTGGCTGCCATATGTGGTGGGTGGAAGGGTGGGAGTGAAGGAATAGATTGAAGAATGAGTGAGAAACAGTTGGAGGGGATAAAGTGAGAGTGGATGGCATGCATGCGTCAAGTGGGTAGATGGCATGGATGGGTGCATGAAATAAGTCAAACTGATGTGCACGGAAAGTAACCCCTCCCTCTTGCTTACGTGTGCACTTGTTGCCCTCCATTTTGAAATGTGTCTTGCACTGACACACCGGCTTTCCTCTCGCCACCATGCACTGCGCATTCACAGGGCAGGCCCGCTTGCACACGGCTGGAGTGGGTGGGAGGTTGGGGGAGTGGGCAGGGGGTTGGGGGAGTGGGCAGGGGGTTGGGGGAGTGGGCGGGGGGTTGGGGGAGTGGGCGGGAGGTTGGGGGAGTGGGAGGGAGGTTAGGGGTAAGGGAGAGGGAAAAGAGCAGGAGGCTGAGTGGGGTAGCAGAGGGAAAAATGAGGGCGAGTGGAGGCTGAAGAGTGAGTGAGTGGCAAGAGGAAGCCATAGAACCCCCACTGTCAGCATAGACCACTGTACTCAAGCTCGACTCACATTCAGCACTGCCTCTAGAGGATGCACTGCCTCTAGAGGATGCACTGCCTCTAGAGGATGCACTGCCTCTAGAGGATGCACTGCCTCTTCACCTCTTGATATCTTGGCCACCAGCCTTTGAAACAGAGCTCCTGTTCAGCTCACCAGTGCAGAGGCCACTCCTCTTGGTGTAGCCGGCGTCGCACTCGCAAATCCCCTGACCGTTCTTCACAACGCACTTTGAGTTCCTGGCGCACTTGAGTGTGCCCGTATCACAAGGGTCTGCCGCTGCCATGGGTGGGGGAGGAAAGGAGTTAGCATCAGCCAGATTACCAGAAGCAAGAGGCAATGACACCCGCCAGCAGCAAGGGACAAAGACGCCTAGCAGCGGCAAGAGAGAAGGACGCTTACCAGGAGTATAATACGCATCGCTGCAGGTCTTCTCAGTCTCATTGAACTCGAGGCCCAAGGGGCACTTGCATTGGGCCTTGCCCTCCTTCACAACGCACTTGGCAGTTCCGCAATCCTCGGGACACGGGGCTGCTGTGGGCACCACAGACGCACAAAGAATGGCAGGCAATTAAAGTCAAGGGGTGTGGGAACAATTAGGGAGGCATAGGGAGGCAGAGAAAAGGCTTGATTCTCACTCTTTCTTACCCAGTCTCTCTCGTACAGGTGCCTTCGTCAGAAGGAACAAACCACTTCTTAGGGATAAAAGCAAAACACAACACTCCAAGGAGACGGGAAGCGGGGAGTTTTTTTCTCAACACTCACCCACACTCCACCACTTACCATTGCATGTCTTGCTTGCTGCGTTGTAGATGTAACCGTTAAGATTGCACGAGCACTTGGGAGTGCCATCGTCTCCCACAGAGCACGAAGCACTTGTCCCGCAATTCACTCTGAAGCATGCATCTGCAAGCGAATTCGAGGTGGTTTGAGGTAAAGTAAGGCAAGGGAGTTTGCGAAAGGGGGAATTTGAGGTGGTGTAAGTAAACGTAAGGCAGAAGAGTTTGTGAAAGGTACGCCTGTGCTTAATCCTGTATACCCACACCCCAACACCAACCCATCCACTCTCCAGCACACACCCACACACGCTCGAGCATCCACCCGCCCACAAACCAGCACCCACCCAAACGCACTCCAACACCCACCCACCCACACTCCACCACGCACCCAGCCACACTAAAGCAACCACCCACCCACACCAGTACCCACCCACACCAGCACCCACCCACACCAGCACTCACCCACCCACACTCAAGCACCCACGAACACTCCAGCACTCACCATTGCATGTCTTTTCTTTTTCGTCGTACATAAGACTTTTGTCAGTGCACGAGCACTTGGGAACGCCATCGCCTCCCACAGAGCAGGAAGCGCCTGTCCCGCATACATAATTATGACACGCGTCTGCAGGGGAATTCGTGGTCACGATGTAAAAAAGAGCAAAGGTTTGTTTGAATGTACAGCTTTGATGTGCGCTAACCAACCCACACTCCAACAACCATCCACACTCCAACAACCATCCACACTCCTGCACCCACCCATCCACACTCCAGCGCCCACCCACACTCCAGCACTCACCATTGCATGTCTTTTCTTTTTCGTCGTACATAAGACTTTTGTCAGTGCACGAGCACTTGGGAACGCCATCGCCTCCCACAGAGCAGGAAGCGCCTGTCCCGCATACATAATTATGACACGCGTCTGCAGGGGAATTCGTGGTCACGATGTAAAAAAGAGCAAAGGTTTGTTTGAATGTACAGCTTTGATGTGCGCTAACCAACCCACACTCCAACAACCATCCACACTCCAACAACCATCCACACTCCTGCACCCACCCATCCACACTCCAGCGCCCACCCACACTCCAGCACTCACCATTGCATGTCTTTTCTTTTTCGTCGTACATAAGACTTTTGTCAGTGCACGAGCACTTGGGAACGCCATCGCCTCCCACAGAGCAGGAAGCGCCTGTCCCGCATATATAATTATGACACGCGTCTGCAGGGGAATTCGTGGTCACGATGTAAAAAAGAGCAAAGGAATGTCTGAATGTACAGCTTTGCTGTGCGCTAACTCACAATACCCACCCACACTATAACACCCACCCACCCACACTATAGCACCCACCCACCTACACTCCAGCACCCATCCACCCACACTCCAGCACCCTCCCGCACTCCATCACTCATCCACACTACAGCACTCACCATAGCATGAGCTGTCAGTTTCGTCGTAGATAAGACCTTTCTCTTTGCACGAGCACTTGGGAACGCCATCGCCTCCCACAGAGCAGGAAGCGCCTGTCCCGCATACATAATTATGACACGCGTCTGCAGGGGAATTCGTGGTCACGATGTAAAAAAGAGCAAAGGAATGTCTGAATGTACAGCTTTGCTGTGCGCTAACCCACACTCCAACAACCATCCACACTCCTGCACCCACCCATCCACACTCAAGCACCTACGCACACTCCAGCACTCACCATTGCATGTCTTTTCTTTTTCGTCGTACATAAGACTTTTGTCAGTGCACGAGCACTTGGGAACGCCATCGCCTCCCACAAAGCAGGAAGCGCCTGTCCCGCATACATAATTATGGCACGCGTCTGCAGGGGAATTCGTGGTCACGATGTAAAAAAGAGCAAAGGAATGTCTGAATGTACAGCTTTGCTGTGCGCTAACTCACAATACCCACCCACACTATAACACCCACCCACCCACACTATAGCACCCACCCACCTACACTCCAGCACCCATCCACCCACACTCCAGCACCCTCCCGCACTCCATCACTCATCCACACTACAGCACTCACCATAGCATGAGCTGTCAGTTTCGTCGTAGATAAGACCTTTCTCTTTGCACGAGCACTTGGGAACGCCATCGCCTCCCACAGAGCAGGAAGCGCCTGTCCCGCATACATAATTATGACACGCGTCTGCAGGGGAATTCGTGGTCACGATGTAAAAAAGAGCAAAGGAATGTCTGAATGTACAGCTTTGCTGTGCGCTAACCCACACTCCAACAACCATCCACACTCCTGCACCCACCCATCCACACTCAAGCACCCACGCACACTCCAGCACTCACCATTGCATGTCTTTTCTTTTTCGTCGTACATAAGACTTTTGTCAGTGCACGAGCACTTGGGAACGCCATCGCCTCCCACAAAGCAGGAAGCGCCTGTCCCGCATACATAATTATGGCACGCGTCTGCAGGGGAATTCGTGGTCACGATGTAAAAAAGAGCAAAGGAATGTCTGAATGTACAGCTTTGCTGTGCGCTAACTCACAATACCCACCCACACTATAACACCCACCCACCCACACTATAGCACCCACCCACCTACACTCCAGCACCCATCCACCCACACTCCAGCACCCTCCCGCACTCCATCACTCATCCACACTACAGCACTCACCATAGCATGAGCTGTCAGTTTCGTCGTAGATAAGACCTTTCTCTTTGCACGAGCACTTGGGAACGCCATCGCCTCCCACGGAGCAGGTAGCACTTGCCCCGCAGTCCTTTAGATAACACGCGTCTGCAGAGGAATTCATTGTGGTTCAGGTAAATTAGGGCAACGGAGTCTTGTGGAAGGTGGGATTTCGCTTAATCCTGTCTACCCACACTCCAGCAGCACCCATTGACACTCCAGCAGCACCCATTCACAATCCAGCAGCACCCATTCGCACTCCAGCAGCACCCACTCACGCTCCAGCAGCACACACCCACACGTCAGCACTCACCATGGCATGTCTTCGTTGTTGCGTTGTAGTACCTCTTGTGACCATTAGCATCATCAAAGCACGTGCAGCGGAGAGTGTTATCGTCTGCGACAGTGCACGCATAACTGTAGGGATCTCCACCGCAGTCCATATAAGTCAAACACTCGGCTGCATGGGAAATTGTTGTGGTTCGAGGCAAAGAAGGGCTTTAATTGCGAAATGTTTGTGGGAGTGAAATGGACGACTTTGATTAACCCTATGCTTACACTAACCCACCGTCCAGCACCCACCCACACTGCTACGGGGGAAATCATGTGTTGTTGTTGAGATGAAGTAGGGAAGTTATTGCTTATGAGCGTGATGCAACCGCTGTTCCCTTACACTCACCTCTATAGCAGGTATAAGCGCCGTCCAAGGCAAAACCATTGCTGCACCCGCACTGAAAGTCGAAATCACCAGACCAAGCGCAGTAGGCACCCTCCCCATGACAGCTCCCGATTCCGCAATCAACGCCTGTTGGGGGCAATTGAGATGGCAGTAAGAAGCCAGGGAGTCACTCGGGGAGATGGCAGTAAGAAGCCAGGGAGTCACTCGGGGAGATGGTGATGAGAAGCAGCATGCCAGAAGAGGGCGAGGAGACAAGAGGGCGAGGAGACAAGAGGGCGAGGAGACAAGAGGGCGAGGAGACAAGAGGGCGATGAGACAAGAGGGCGATGAGACAAGAGGGCGAGGAGACAAGAGGGCGATGAGACAAGAGGGCGAGGAGACAAGAGGGCGATGAGACAAGAGGGCGAGGAGACAAGAGGGCGAGGAGACAAGAGGGCGATGAGACAAGAGGGCGATGAGACAAGAGGGCGAGGAGACAAGAGGGCGATGAGACAAGAGGGCGAGGAGACAAGAGGGCGATGAGACAAGAGGGCGATGAGACAAGAGGGCGAGGAGACAAGAGGGCGATGAGACAAGAGGGCGAGTAGACAAGAGGGCGATGAGACAAGAGGGCGAGGAGACAAGAGGGCGATGAGACAAGAGGGCGATGAGACAAGAGGGCGAGGAGACAAGAGGGCGATGAGACAAGAGGGCGATGAGACAAGAGGGCGAGGAGACAAGAGGGCGATGAGACAAGAGGGCGATGAGACAAGAGGGCGAGGAGACAAGAGGGCGATGAGACAAGAGGGCGATGAGACAAGAGGGCGAGGAGCAAGAGTGGGCACCAGTAGCCCGTCATGTCTTTTCCGTGCTCATGTCTTTTCCGTGCCAGTGGTGGGCGCCGGGCGGCAGCCATCCAGGACTCACTAGCGCTGGCGTGGGTCGCGAGGAGGCTGAGTGCGACGAGTCCCGCGACGAGCGTGCCCAGGCCAGCGCCAACGGCAGACCGTCGCTCGGAGCGTTCCATCATGGCGAGAGGAATCAAAGGTCACGGCCACGATGTCGAAGGTTTCGGCTTTGCAAGACAGGAGTCGAACCGCAGTCTCAGATTCTGAGGCTCGTATAGGCGCGACGATGTGGGATTGGGTGGAGCTCGAAAGGTGCGAGTCCGGAAGAGGCGCGAAAAGACGTAATCAGCGGGAAGTGGCGTGAGAATGTGATTACGGGCTCGTAAAGGGGTGTCGATATATGTGTTGAGAGCGAGTGGTGAAGCGCACGCTGGTTCATTGTTCCTACTGGGAACAGTCATCGATTAGTCAGCGCGAATGTCAGATCTGACATTCGCGCTGTGGAGTGGACTCGCGGACAGTAATGTAACGCGTTTCGATTCGTTGCGGAAAGGTGAGGGGTGTGCGGAAGGAGACGGACGCACAGCGTCCCGCGTGGAGGGAACAGCGGAGGGGAGGGTGAGAGCAATTTTCGTCATATTTTTCGCGGCGAAAAGGAGAGGCGGACGGGGTCGGGGATGACGGGAAGAAAATCCACTGGCAAGATGCGGCTGGACGAAGCGGACTTCAGACTACGCGACGGGGTGCAGGGCGAAGAGGCTTCCGCCCGGCAGTACTACTACCAGTCACCCGCTCGCGGCGCAGAGTTGCGAGAACTACGGGAATGCCTTGTAGGGATGCATTATTGCTGTGATTGATAATGCACAAACAAAACGAAGGCTGGAACGCGTTTGGCAATGCCTAGTCCAAAAGGAGGGGATGGTTGGAGTTGGCAAAACATGTGCTGGTAACAAAAAATTGCGAGGTTTTGCGAGCCCAACGTTTCGCCTAAACTGAAACACCTTGGCGACGGAAATCGGTCCATGTCGGCTGCAAACTCTGGTCACGTGGGGACTAAAGGCGTGTGTCCTTTGTGGGCCGAGTTCAAATTTGAGTTCGACCTTTGTGTGGTTACCAATTTCAGGCAGCAGCAGGAGGAGGACGATGTCGAGATGGAGGGTGGGGCTCTCTGGGTGGAGGCCCCTTACATGGTGGATGCTCGGATGTGAGCTGAGTAGGGGGGGGGAAATTGGGGGGCTGTCCGGGGTGTCTCGGTTGGGTGTATGGATTGGGTGTTTTGATTGGGTGTCTTGATGGGGTTTTTATTATGTATTTGCTTTTAGGATCTGGGTGTCTTGATGGGGTTTGGGGGCTGTCCGGGGTGTCTCGGTTGGGTGTATGGATTGGGTGTTTTGATTGGGTGTCTTGATGGGGTTTTTATTATGTATTTGCTTTTAGGATCTGGGTGTCTTGATGGGGTTTTTTATGTGTGTGCATTTAAGAAACTTGAAAAAGTGTTGTGTGACGAGAGTTTGTTGATTCCTCACAAGAAATGAGAACTTCCGAAGGTATGTGCTGTTCTGAATAGCTCATGTACCGTGCCTGTATCATTGCCTGTTACACTCCCTCCCCTCCATCTGTCAGAATGAAGAATGGATGATGCATTGATGTTGGTTGGGGTACATATAGCTAACCCTAAGTTTTGTACCCCCTAAGACAAACCTCACTATAGGCTACAACATTTGACACCATCCTGCATAACATCGATATTTCGCATGCTGTACTGTAGCTTCGTAGTTTACTGGATTACTATAAGGAAATTCCTTTTCCTTACTCCGCGTCCCTTCTCAGCGCGTACACCACTGTTCCCGCCACCAGCATCCAACAGTACACCGTTACCACTGTTGGAAATAGTGAATCTTAAGCGCTTCAGTCGTGTCGAAACACCACACCAGAAGCGAAGCACGCCATGTCGAAGCACCCGCGAGTCAACCCTCGGAGGTTAAAAGAGGTTGCTGGAGGTTACGCGAAAGTCAAAGGTCAAGCGACCTTTGACCTGACAAATACAGCGCGACAGTTAAGGACACACAGCTGACTCGTTACAAAGCAGTTGCCCGAGTCGTACTGTATCGAACCGCAACAGCAACAGTAAAGTAGTTACAAACTGCATCCTTTCATATTCCCTGTATTACTATATAACCGTGTACTTCCTTGCTATAATCAATCTACTTTGCCCTCACATACCAGCGCAAGGTGGTTCACAAAACTTTGTTAAACGCTTCCGCTGTTACAACACTATCCATCCAGAGTTCTCCCTTGAAAGATCCTAAGGGGCTATCTCAGCCCAACATGGTATGAGAGCAAACAGGGGAAACTCTACTACCTTCAAATCATTACAAGACATGGCAACAAGCAAGGAAAGGAGCTCCTCTAACGGCTCCCCAGGCACTACTCCTACTCCACCTCCTGCCTCTGGCCTGCAGACAGAGGAAGGCACGGCAACAAGACCAAGAGTAACATCTACTGAAACTCCCGCAAATCACCCCGCGAACTTCGACCCGAGTATAATGGAGAAGTTCTTCTCCTTCATGTCCTTCTACGAGCAGCACCAGCAGTCGGGACCTGCACAATCACACAACAGCAACAACAACGGAGCAACACCCATGAGCCTTGACGGATCTGTTAAACTGTATTGTGCTTGTAGTAGTGGGGTAGCCAATATGGGGTACAACCCCAACTAGGGTTTCATATTTGTACCCAAACTTCTGTTAGTTCATCCATTCTTGCCTAGTTCTTCTGAAATGGTATTCAGAGCAGGAGGTCCCTAGGACCTACCGACCGTTTTTTTTTTTTTTAAGGGCCCACCACCGCTCGCATGCGGTTACCACGCTACCCCGTGCCCTAGCCTCGTAGCGCCCTCGTTAGCGCCCTCGCGCGCCCCTCGTTAGCGCCCTCGCGCGCCCCTTCGTTAGCGCCCTCGCGCGCCCCTCGTTAGCGCCCTCGCGCGCACCCTCGTTAGCGCCCTCGCGCGCCCCTTCGTTAGCGCCCTCGCGCGCCCCTTGCTAGCGCCCTCGCGCGCCCCTCACTAGCGCCCTCGCGCGCCCCTCGCCGAGCCGCCCGCTCGCAGCCCGCCCGCCCGCTCGCAGCCCGCCCGCCCGCTCGCTGCCCGCTTCGCGGCCCGCTCGCTACGCAGCCCGCCCGCCCGCTCGCTGCCCGCTTCGCGGCCCGCTCGCTACGCAGCCCGCCCGCCCGCTCGCTGCCCGCTTCGCGGCCCGCCCGCTTCGCAGCCCGCTCGCTCGCTGCCCGCTTCGCGGCCCGCCCACTTCGCAGCCCGCCCGCCCGCTCGCTGCCCGCTTCGCGGCCCGCCCGCCTCGCAGCCCGCTCGCCCCGCTGCCCGCTTCGCGGCCCGCCCACTTCGCAGCCCGCCCGCCCGCTAGCTGCCCACTTCGCGGCCCGCCCGCATCGCAGCCCGCTCGCCCCGCTGCCCGCTTCGCAGCCCGCCCGCCCGCCCGCTGCCCGCTTCGCGGCCCGCCCGCCTCGCAGCGTCGCCCGCCCGCCGTGCTGCCCACCTGCAGCGCCGCCTGCCCGCCGCGCTGCCCGCTTCCCGGCCCGTCCGCCGAGCTGCCCGCTCGCAGCGTCGCCCTCCCGTCGCGCTGACCGCTTGCAGCGCCGCCTGCCCGTAGCGCCAGCCTCGCCCGCTGCTCTCTATCCGTGCACAGTCGCCTTCCCCTGCTGCGGCAGCTTGCGTTACTCTGTCACACTGTCGCTATGGCTTCCATCCGCGTACTGTCGTTCGATGCTGAGGGCCGCCCTGTGCGGTTCACCGCTTGGCTAGATGACCTGCAGCTGTTCCTCCTGAGCGATAGCAAGGAGCATGTGTCGCTCTATGATTACGCGTCTGGTGCTGCGCCTGCCCCTCCTGCCACAGCTGAGCTTAGTGTTCGTTCCCACTGGCAGACTCGTGACGCAGCTGCTCGCCTAGCCATTCGCAGTCACCTGCCGTTAGCTGAGCTAGAGCATTTTGGCGACTGCAAATCCGCTAAGGCCCTGTACGACGCTGTCGTCGCTCGCTACTCCTCGCCTGCCACAGCCGAGCTTAGCCGCCTCATGCTGCCGTACCTGTTCCCCGATCTGTCCACCTTTACTACAGTCGCCGATCTTATCACCCACCTTCGCACTAGTGATGCTCGCCTGCGTGCCGCTCTTCCCACCGAGTTCTGCGCTAAGAACCCCCCTCCACTGTACTGGACACTCCACTTCATAGTCACCCGTCTCCCTGACACCCTCCGCTCAGTTCGAGACCACTTCCTTGCTCGCTGTCCCACTGAGCTCACAGTCGCCCTCCTAGAGGAGCACCTGCTCGCGGCCGAAAAGAGCATTGTAGCTGTCGGTGCTGCTCGTGGCGCTCCTCGCACCCCCATCTTTGAGGGGTGTTCTCCCTCTCCCCTCGCTCCCTCCTACGCTGCTGCTGCTGCTGTTGACTTCCTTGGTGCTGAGTCTGTTGGCGCTGCTTCTACTCCTGGTGGGAGGCGCCGCACCGGCAAGGGCAAGGGGGGCAAAAGTGGTGGTGGTGGCGCTGGGGGGGGAGGAGGTGGGGGAGGTGGGGGGGGAGGCGGTGCTGGAGGGAGCGGTGGCGGGAGCGCTGGTGGGAGTGGGGTCGGTGGTGGAGACGGGGGCGGCGGAGGAAGCAGTGGCAGTAGTGGCGGCGGCGGCGGTGGCGGCGGTGGCGGTGGTGGCGGTGGTGGCGGTGGCGGTCGGAGCGGTGGTAGTGGTGGCGGCGGAGGTCGGAGTGGAGGCACTGGCTCGGGCCAGAGCTCCCAGCAGCAGCAGCGTCCCCAGACGACCCAGCAGCTTCGTGAGTGGCTTGCTCAGCGTGGGACGTCGGGGGCCAGTGCCCGCTGTTCTTATGTCATTCGCACAGGTGACCGCAAGGGACAGACGTGTGGGAGGTTCCACACCCCGTACCGCTGCTTCTCCCGCCTTGACGACGCTTGGCGTGAGGAGATGGGTGCGGATGTTGAGCGCCCCCGCTGGGCTGAGCTCATGAGGGCTGGTGTTGATGTCTTTGCTCTTGACTATGATGCTATTATTGCTGCCATGTATGCATTGACTGTTAGTGCCGAGGGAGACTGTTACTTGTGTGTGCCGCCTGACCCAGGTATAGAGCCTGCTGCCCTGGGTACTAGTGAGTCTGCTCTCT